CGCGGACGCCCTGGCTACGCACTTCCTCACTGTAATTTCCAGTAAACCGGCGGCTGTTCCAGTACCGGCACAGGTTGCGCAAGTCTTGCTCGACAGCCTACAATGTGATGCAGTGGAAGTACATCAGCTACTCGTCAACCTCAATGGTGCAAAGCCCCCCGGGCCGGACGGACTTCACCCACTAATACTCAAGTCCTTATCGATTATCATCTCACCAGTTGTGACAAATCTTTTCAATAGATCGCTCTCTGAAGGATCCGTCCCGAACGACTGGAAATGCTCGATAGTTAAACCGCTTCCCAAGGGTGGTGATCCGAGTAAAATAGAGAACTATAGACCGATCTGTTTGACTTCGGTATTATCCACAGTTCTCGAGAAGGTTGTGAAAATGTGTCTGCTGTCGTTCTTCGAATCGATGGACGTATTGACGCCAGCGCAACACGGCTTTACGAAAGGGCGATCCTGCATCACCAACTTGATGTACGCAAACCACCAGTGGGTTCGAGCTCTCAATGAACAGAAGGATGTTGACGTGGTGTACATCGACTTTAGTAAGGCGTTTGACAGAGTGAACCACGAGGTACTCCTTCGTAAACTGAGGACATACGGAATCGGTGGCACGTTACTTCAGTGGATACAAGAGTTTGTTGTGGGACGAAGGTTTAGAGTACAGGTCAATGACTATCTGACAGACTGGTTCCCATCGACCAGTGGCGTGCCTCAAGGAACTGTACTTGGGCCAGCATTATTTCTTATTCATATCAACAATCTTCCGCAGCAGCTCCAGTCACCATGTGTCCTGTTTGCAGATGATTTGAAAATCTGGAGGATCATTGAAAACCAGGACGACTGCGCTCGCCTCCAGCATGACTTAGAGCGACTGTCAACGTGGTCCACTGCAATGCAACTCCCTCTTAACGCAAGCAAGTCGGAGTTCATCAGTATCACCAGACGTCCAGCCACTCGATCATACACCTTGGACGGCCAGTTGCTCCATCCCAACACATCTGTCAGAGACTTAGGAGCTCTCACGACATGATTTGCGATCACTAGAAAATACAGAGAAATTGTACCGTGCAGGACTTCGTATGCTCTGGGCATTACGACGCAGTTTCTCCACATGGTCCGAAGAAACCGTCCCTCGTCTATTCACCTCGCTCATTAGACCAATCCTTGAATACGGTGCCCCAGCTTACCATCCGATAACCCAATGGGAAATTGAAAAAACTGGAGAAAATACAGCATATCGCAACTAGAATGATACCAAGTCTACGAAAGCTTCCATATGAAAAACGTTGTGAAAAGCTCGGACTCTACACACTACCTATCGCCGAGTAAGAATTGATCTTATTATGACCCATCGAGTACTACACTTGAATCACTTCCCCATACTGCGGCCAATATTTCACCTGCGAGAACCATGTAACACCCGAGGACATCGTTACAAACTCAGGGTCCCCCGCATGAACAAAGTATCACATCAGCTTTGTATCGAACGAAGAATCGTAAACTTATGGAATATACTACCAGAAGGATTAATAGAGGCCGATTCTGTGAAGTGTTTTAAAACCGGTATCGACGATTATTTTGGAAACCTGTGCCTTTGTGAAACGATGCACATACAGTGCCAAAAGAAGACATTTTATGTCCGGAAATAATAACGCTAGTACAAATTTCTAACCGAACACGGATAAACGGTTAACGGAGCAGACACAACCGCTGATAATTCACAAGTAAATTTTGATGTTTCGTGATTGGATAGAGTTGTACAGAAACCTTTCTACTTGCTCTTAAATACAGTCTCTCAGTCTCAGTCCCAGAACTCGACGAGATGTATGGATAGTTAAACTACTATGGTCTGCAAGTAAAACAAACTAAATTTAGAGTGCTCCATCTACGACACAAAACGATTCAAGCCTATAGGCTGGGTGCTCACGGTCTCTCGTTTTGTTCTCATAAGGAAGATCCCGATGTGCTGGTCCAGGGAGACTTTGGCTGAGTGAGTAAGCTGTAATAGCCTAAAAATTGACGGGTGAAATCTGGAGCTCTCACAGAGCGACTTTGATCAATTCCACTCATCTCCCAGACTCATTTCTTAATACATACGCCCCCACATGAAATATGCGATTCAGTCATTACAGCAAAAGCAAAAGCGTGCTCTCAATGTCTTTGAGAATCCACAAAGCCAAGCCCAAAATCTTCATAGGTCCGTACAACCAGAGAATAAGTGGGGAGTTTGACTTGTGACGTTATCATCTTTTAACAGATATTGAGCAACCACATTCACTTGTACTATTGGTTGTTAAAGTCCACACTAAACAACAAACTGACAAGCTACCGTCACAAAATGGCGGAAAATACGGCAGACTGGACGGTGTTAGGAATTGCTTCTTGCTGCGTGTTTGTCCTACAAGGAAGTAACTCACAAATCCCATTATTTCAAACAATACATGAGCTACGTTCAAAGATCTTGTCAATAATGCGCTGGTCGAGCTACACCATTTCATCTGACACACTTGGACCAAAGGTAAATGCAGCAACCGATAAGGCTTGAATCCACACCTGTACTCTTCTGTAGAAAACTGGAGTCGGTGCCAATTCAAACGGTATAAAACCATATATGCACAATGCAAAATGACTACTTAACTTAATTGTTTGATTATTTAGTTGTTTATAGTTGTTATCAGTTGTATTTAAAAACCCCAACCGCCATCCAAATGGATATGATAAGCATGAGAAAATTTATCAACATTTTACAACTGACCATTGACCATAAGTTGTGGAATCATATGGGGATGTAATTACGATGGATTAATGCGTACATACGAGGAAGAAATAAGTCAGGACACCGGGTACATTATGTCCGTAACCAAATTTTAATTTAATTTCTTAATCTAAAAAAAATACGAGAAGACGACATTTAGTATATGCAACCTTATTGTGTTGTCTCTTCAATACCAGTAACAACAACTGATGAAGAGCGATAGCAAACGTTGCATGTGACCAAAAACAAAATTCTGGGAGATCGAGATGGAAGAACAAGATTCGGTCTGTATCCATGAAAGCGTGAAACTAACGAATGGCTGCTTGTGCACGCGCATCGGTGGCTGCATTCAGCTAATTGCGATAACCTCAGCGAACCGAAGAACTAGCGTATTAGAGTGCCACAGCAAAATGTTGAATGCTATATCGAGCCGGGTCTGGTGACCAATAATCAATAGGTGCTTAAATATATGGGATGCTGGCAACTGACCCAACGAAAGCGATTGGTGAAGATAGGTTTGTTGGTTTATACCACGCAGGACCTACTTCGGTACGTTTTCCTTCAACTGGAAAGAAATGCTTTATCAGTTCTGCAAACGTAACTGGCTCCGGGGTTATATGCGAACTGGTATACACAATAGGAGCTGGTGTCGATTGGTAGAGCTTCCCTCGGATAATGTACTGGCAACATGCTGGTTCGTTTGATGACAACGACGACGATCTGAGCAGCATAGTAGGTCCTGTGCGCATCAGCGATCAAACGCTTGGTGTTCATGAACGTGACAAACTCATCCTTGATAGGTAATTCGGGATAAACTTCCTTCATGGTTGCGTCCTGTACCAAGACTTTGATCGTCGGATTCCCCATTCCAGAACGCATGATCTTGTTTGACAGGTTGATCCCATCGAGGTCGTCCATGTGTTGAAATAAGTCTTACATATCGGTGCTGTCGCGGTGAAACTTTGAAGTTATGCCTCGCCGACCTCCAAGACCTTGTACTGGTGGTTCTCGATCTAACATCTATCGACTCATGAAACATGCTCAGGTCAGCATAATGCAGAATAATGCTACATTCGGTATACAGTCTTCTTCCTTTGTTTACAATATTTCCAGATGATTCTCCAATCAGGTCCGGACTGGTTGTGTGCCCCACACATTTCAGAAGCCTTGAACAAGTTGCTGGGACTTTCACCTAGTCATTAATAGATTCCGTGGACGTTGTTCCTTCTGGTTCACATGATTTACAGATGCAAATTTGGAGTCGATGATTGGTAAGCAAAATTTTTCATCGTGTAACATGCGTAAAGAAGTGCCTGCTGATTTACCACCTGTAATATCAACACCGCAGTTTCCAAGCATTACTGCAATCTGCCGCGGTATCGCGATTGATGGATATTTACCAGCTAGAACGATAAACCTGATGCTTCGGCGCCTTCGTGTGTTACACCCTGAATTGCCGTGCGATTCGCGCACATTGCTCCGTACACCACGTGAATGCTCGAGTACCGTTGTTAAGGAAAGCGATTACCTGCACGTTGCACTGATTGCAGGAATACGTCGCGTGTTGCATACCAGTGATGCCATTGTCATATGGTATTTGCAGCTGCAGTTGAACATAGATGGACTCACCCTGTTTCGCAGTTCGCGTAAACTATTGTGGCCTGTCTTAGCTAGACTTAAGGATCCGCCTTCATCCGTTTTCATTGTCGAATTGTATTTCGACTTGTCGAAACCTGTAGATGTACATGAGTTCATGCGACCAACCATTGCCGAGCTGAGAGATGGCATGCATACAGCAATCCGAATATCTCCAGAAAGTCCTTTGGTGACACTTACCTTAAGTGCGTGATTGCGGATGCTCCTGTTCGGGCATACATCCGACAAGTAAAGCAGCATCCCGGTTAATACGCATGCGAGAAACGTACCGTTACTGGTTAGTATCCAATTTCATTAACATTTCAATAATTTCTAATAGGTGTGCATGTAGATGACCACATGACTTTCCCAATGGACACGGGTATCATGCTAAGGAATGATGAAGATTTCCGTCTGCGTCCTCAAGTAGAACATCGCAGAATGACGCGCTTCATTACTGTGCGGTACCGGTAGAGGACTGAGTGGCACTTTATTAGAGTTCCGCCATGAAGCCATAGAAAGTCTGTGGTAAGTACCATTTCCGTAGGTACTTGAAGTCACTATATGCAGGTATGGTCTCTAATGACCACATGAATTTCAGTGGACACTCTTATGTATATACAAGGGAGGAGATCGTGAGGATCCTGCGAACTACCAGTCGATCTCTCCGACAACGATAATTTGTAAAATCATGGAAATAAGTTTCAAGGGAGCCCTAGATCTTCACCTAGGGAATCTGCATTTTATCTCATGCGCTCAACATGGTTTTCGGAAGGCACGTTCCTGTGTCTCTAACTTGCTTGTCGCCAGCGAAAAACGGGTGAGATGGCTGAATGTCGGCAATCGTCTGGGTGTCGTTCTCATCGACTTCAGTAACGTAGTTGACAAAGTTCCTCATAGACGTCTTCTTTTTAACCTCAGGGAAATCGGCGTTTCTGGGAAGATTCAATTTTGGGACACTGACTTTCGGAATTGCCGAAGCATGAAGGGAAAGTGAACGATACCTACTGCAGTCCTGATTTCATGCTCACGGAGGTCACGCCTGGCTCCGTCCTTGGTCCTGAGCTCTACAAAACCTACTTCAATATTCTTCCATCCGAGCTCCGAACTGATTAACTCATACATACTGGTTATCTGAAACTATGGCTAGAGGTATCAAAGCTTTATGATGCTGATCGGCTACAGACAATGCTGAACTGGTTGCACTGCTAGCAGTGGACTGGCGGCTACCCATTAACCATGGTAAGTATTCTGTCTCCCAATTGGTGCCTCGGACCCTATTGGTGCTTATCACATTGGAGGTTCCCTGCTCACGAAGGCAACCTTGGAGAAGGACCTGGTTGTTCTTGTCTTGCCAAACCTACGCACCAATCAGAACACCCTAAAGAAAGTTTCCGTTGCTAATATGGTGCTCTTTTCTATAAGAGGCTCATTTCCCAGTTGGCTGCAGAGACTTACCCACTTTTGTTTAGTTCTAATGTTCGGCAAAGTGTTTATTACTGATTGCCAGCAACCCATCCTTTTACGAAAGCCGACTGTGTACTGACAGAGTAGGTTCGGCGGCGGAGATCGAAATCTTTCATGACACTCAGAAACCTGTCTTCCACTGATGTCCTTCAAAGGATGCACTTGTGCTACCTAGAGTATCGTCTTCGCCGTGGTGACTTGGTTTACACGAGGTGTATTCTACGAGGTGAGATGTGTAATGAGGTATAATAGATCTCTCGTCATTGTGCGGATAGTGCAACACCACTCAACGGTATGAAGCTGTTTAATTCAAGGAGGCATTGGGTTCGCTCTGATGTCACTTTGTCAACGCGTGTGGTGAATGACTGTGACAGTTTGCTTGAGGTAGTCGTCAGTGGGCAGACAATGACGTGTTTCCAGCTTTTGCTAGACATCTATTTGATGTACAAGTATGCATCTGGCTGTATTGATTGTGACCGCAATGCTCTCTTGTGGTACACTGTACCACATCCACTCACATAATCCCTACAGTGAGCGCGAACTGATGGGTCTGACGAAGGACTTCCAACTTACTACAACCCAGAGAACCGACGTTCACAGTCGTTGTTGTGAAATAATAATAATAATAATAATAATAATAATAACTCTTATTATTGTACATTAGAAAGACAATTCAGCGCAGGAAAGCATCCAATCCGAAATTTTCTCCATGAAATACAACTCTCACTTATTCTACTGAATCACACATTTCTCTCTCCTATTATTACCTACCCGGTCTTTTGACGCTCAATTGTGTTGTTCGTCGACCCCCCGAAACCGACCAACGTCATGTGCACAGACGAGCGAAGTACAAGAACTGATTTCTATCAATGCCATGTACAGAGACGATCCATCGGCGGAAGAACAGCGTTTTACAAACCTTATCGACTGCCTTAGACAATGGATTCTTGGCTACAATCTATTCCCGACTAACTCAGACTAACTGGTTCAAAATGACCATTAAGTATTCATACATTCAATGCCTCGGTTTCGCTTGTCATTTTTAACTTGGTGTGTATCAAATAATACTACCAATCCATCCATTCTCATGGCACTACTTTACATTAATGATGCGGCGCTATATTTGCTAAACCTTTGATCATTGCAACGAAAACAATGCGCGCTATTTGAACCATCCTAGTTACCATCGCAATCTGCACAACTGAAGCTTTCGTATGATGATGAGGATGTTAGCTTGATCACGTCTACAGATTACGCACATCTTAGTTGGTTACCATCGCCTGGACTGAGCGTCAAACTTGACACAACTACAGAAAGCTCTCGTTACATTTCATGCATTCGATGGCCTAACACAACGGTACCTTATCCACTACGCGTCGGTTTCTTACATTTTAATTCTGTATTTGAAGACACAGTAGATTATGGACAGACCCGGTGATTGAGATGAACATTGGAACAACGGAACAGTGATGTATTACGGGCAAAATGCAATGTTTAACAAGTCCCATGGGATGAAAATTAAGGCGAAAATACACATTCGTGGTGACGTGGGAAGCATTTTGCCGCGTTGACCATAGACCTGTATAGTAAAGCGGAGCTGTTCGTGTATTAAAAGGAAAAATCTATAGCTTCATTGTTTATGACATTGGTAATACGTCGTCTGACTGCATTTTGTAGCCCCATGGTTGAAAATTTATAAACTGAAATGCAAATTGGACGACGCATCTTCAACTCGTTTTTTAAGAATCCCCAGATTGGTGACAGAGACAACCTAGTTTGGGAGAGCGTTCCAAGGCTGACACTTGGAAGAAAAATAAATTTCTACGGCATTACAACCGGCTATACCATATTGTCATTCTCCGATGATGACCTCTTAGTTTAGTATTGTGGTTCAGTTTCAGTAGCGGGCGGCATATGCGGTTGGGTATTTCAGAATCTAGTAAACCAATGTGCGATCCCCAAAAACGCCGATATCAATCGCTGTACATGCTTAGAGATTTCACTCTAAGTTGATAAGGTTGATGAAATAGGCATCTAACGTATTTGATCAACCTTCGAAAAGGAGTCTCGTGAGCAACGAGGTCCTGTTTCTGCCACCTATGTCACACTTGCATGGCGTATTCCACTTGCGGTTGCACGCAGGCGTTAAAGATTCGAGGGAAGATTGAAAGTTCAAACCGACCGAATGCTCAGCGCAAAAGGCCGAAGTGTTGGTTACCGGTTCCTGACACCTTATCTGCTTGCGTTGAGCATGCGATATATTCCTGTACCGGTACATCCAGGTCATGCTCCTTCGAGCCCTTCTGCTAGGTACGGCCACAATGGTTGTAAACGCTCACCGACAGGTGACGCAGATGGATCACCTTGCACTTAACTGTATTCGACTAAAGCAGGTTCCTAGCTGACCATTCATAAATGCAATCTAGGTGATGTTGGATTGGATCGGGATCCTCCTTATTATTGGTCGCCCGTAGGATCTTTACTTCATCGGATAAAGGCGAAAATTAGAAGAGAAAATCCTTGCCAGTTCATTGGCAATCACAAGGAAAGTGCGCGGTCCCAGTGCCGAGCGATGTAGGAGAGTACAATGTAACACAGTAGCCTTGGCGAGTGATCCCATAACACGCACCTGAAGCCTATGTTGGTGAAAATAGTTGCCAATCCAATCGAGAACAGGGTCTCCGATTCCATAGCTCTGTTGCCTGTGAAGTACAACGCAGTGATCCGAGCGGTTGAAAGTTTTGGAGAAGTCAATTTGCTGAATTCGACACCGATCGCACCATCAGCCACTTCCGTTCAAATACCTCATGTCATCAGCAGGGTGGTGGTGGTGCATGTCCGGTGATGATGGTAGCCATGCTGCTCCGGTAGCAAGATGTTAACTTTTTCCAGGTGGTCCATTAATCCCTCAGCGATGAGCGCTTCCGTCACGTTCGCGAGCACAGGAAGGCGATAGTTTGCAGGTTAGGAACAGCTACCACCTTTAAAATTTTGGCTTATAGTGCCACGCTTCCTAATGGCAGGAACTTGCTGTTCAGCGAAGCACCTTTGGAAGTACTGTGACAGTGCTTCTGCTAGCTATGCGTTCACGACATTCAGTGCTTTCGGACGGAAGTTGTCTGCTATCGGAGAGCTATTATTGCTCCGTAAGCGTAACTTCCTTAGGACAATTGTTGCGTTGAAAACTACAGCTTTAAACCATGGAGCCGGTAATGTGCTTGACATTATGGGACAAGTATAGGCTGCATGTTTGTCTGTTGGGGTGTATTGTAGCTGTATTGTATTGTATTGTATTGTAGCTGTATTGTAGCTGGTGTATTGTAGCTGCTTCTTCGGCGCTTGTTAATCAACCGCCTGATGTGAAAAGTAGAGGGATGTCATGTTTTAGTTTAGGCAAATTGTTTACATGGCTATACAGTAGTTTGTTGCTTGCTAGGAACTTCTTGGCAAGACACTGTTGATAAGTTAATTTGTCCTCGCGTACAAGTGTGGTCCAATGGTTGCGATGGATCAGGAAATGGTACTAACTTTCCGGGTCGTAGTTGCGCCTCTAGACACGCCATGTTGCATCCATTCTGCCATGCATTTTCGAATCCTGCTTCGTAAAATTGAAGGACTTTCTGCGGAACGAATGGGCTTGATCTCTGATGTGCTTTTGCCCATGTCAATAAGACTTTCAACGAACTCTGTCCAAAAGATATTTAGTAGTCTTTTATTCGAGAGTTCCTGAGCGAATATCTCGACGAGTTCTTTCATAATGTGGTAGCGTGTGGTTGTGTGTGTTAGTTCAGAGTGTTCAGGTGGATACTCTGCAAAATACCCATGATTGAACGTTATTCCTACATGGTCGCTTAGCCCTGATTGGCTCTTCATCAATAACTTGTCAATCATTAGCTCTTCATTCATGAGCACAAGGTCGAATATGGATGGTTTGTTTGCTGTCCTGAATCTAGTCGGCTTGCTGACATGATTGTACAAGGGAATATTATCGACACATTCGTGCAAGTCTGCTGCGAAATGTTCATTGGGTGATGCAGCTACCTCCAGATCTTGTCTGCTGAAGTCCCTGAAGATGAGAAGGTGGCGGTACCTAGTACATGTTATCCTGTTCAAGGAACAGTTCAAGCATAGAGTACGAGATTGTAGTGTGTGTTTTCCTTGAATGTTGGTAGATTCGTTGGGATAGCGCTTATCCTTAGTTGCATCCAACTGGTGCTCTCGTTGCCAGTTCCCACATGTAGAAATTACGAATAATTGTAGGGATAATTCAGTGTGCCTAATGTAGACAATCTTGACAATCTTTACTCA